TTCATTACTAGCCCTAGCTGCTAGCCCTAAGCCAAAATATGGCGTCAACAATGGAATGTCCCTACAGCTTGTCTCGTTGCGACTTGTTGCCCTTTGCTGTGCCAAGGTTTCATCGTGTCTCCCATCGTTGACGGGCTGCTCTACTTCTTTACGGTCGCCGCCAGTTGCTCCCGCCATACGAAACACTCGTCCTCATAGCCGGTTTTCTGGTCCTTGTCGTATTCTCAGGCTCAGTTAGGGTCTGCTTAGCTCGTCAACGGCGTCCTGACTGTGCTGCGGGTTGCGTACATTCTAGATCGAAGCAGAGGAGCTGTAGTCCAGCCAGGAACTGCTTTGATAGGTTCCGGCAAGTCCGGGCATCCTCCAGTTGCTACCGCTGCACGAACCACTCGTTCTCATCGCCGGTTTCCCGGTCCTCGTCGTATATTTAGGCTCAGGCCTAAGTCGTCAACGGTGTTTTGACTGTGCTGCGGGCCGCATACATTCTGGATCAAAGCGGAGGAGCTGTAGTCCAGCCAGGAACTGCTGTGACAGGTTGTGGCAAGTCCGAGCAGCCTCACTTGATTTTTCCCGATATCGACAGCCACTCCCAGAGCCTCTTTGCCGACAGCCTTAGAACCGGGCGGTACTACTGCTTCCGCCGTGGTAGCGACGCTAACCTTCTGTCTTAGCAGTTGGAAGCCCCAACGAACAGGGCCAACTCATCCTCTGGGATTTTTCTTCTCGGCTCGGGTCGCGTGCCTCGAGCCTTTCTCCGATCAACTTCTTGCATCTACGCGTCTGGTGCACGTGCACACAGGTGACTCTCCTCTCTTCAAGCACCGTCGCCGCGCTTTCGCGTTCGGCACGCGCCTCCTTGTGCTTCTCTTTTACTCATCACAGACATCCATGGCAAAAACGTTAGGAGCTCGACTTTTGGATGAAGAACTACGGACTGTGGTTGTTGAAGCAGAAGGCGTAATTACTAATTAGCCTCTTATGTGTATGACGATTTTAACGACCCCTAACCCATCACACCAGGGGATGTGATAGGAGGCAGGCAAGCAATTAACTAGCAGCAGGAACACAATGCTTAGAGAATGCAGTTTGCTGAATTACTGAAGTGCAAGAAAACAAACAATAATAGCATGGTGGACCAGATAACAAAGGGAGTACCTGAGGGAGCTTACCATATTTATTTGAATCTAGGCCGATAGTTTTTTCGGAATTTCTTTGTATCAAACTCCAGGATCGACAAAGATTCGAGGATTTTGAAAAACGCGCCATTTCTCATAGAGAAAAGTGATGCAAAGCTAGCGCCACCTAAACAGTATTGTAGCCATTAATAGCCGAGCCAACAGATGGCTTAAGTACGCTCGCGAGGCCGCCATTTTTATCCTTGTGGCGAGTTTTTTTTCGGATTAGTGTCGGTCGCTAATGCCACCTGTGGCAGACGATGCAACAAGTCGACATTTTGCATAGCCTCAGAAATGGTAGTATACAGTTGCACATCTCGAATAACTCTCGACTGACATGCCACTATGGACCGCAAATAGAAAACGCCGTGATGATAGTGTCAATCGCGAGCGCCATCACGCGGTGCTTGCTCAAAACTGAAGGCAGGCCGACTCTGCTGGGAGCACGAGCCATCGCTCAGGCATCTTAATAAAGGAGGCAGTGTTTGAGGCGAGCCCTTCAATTCTAGTCCCGCTTCTAGTGGGCTGTGTGTGGCATAGCTTAATGGCGCCAAACAAGCGTAGTCATAGTGTGGCGTATAAAAGGAAAGTTGTGCTAGCCATGTAGTCGTCCTCTAACATTCAAGCCGGAGGGGGGGGGGGGGGGTCTTGTAGTGGACAAAAAGAATTCTTCATTGCTGAAGGGGCCAATGGGAGAAGCTCTTTGTGTGCGCCGTAACCAAGATGGTTTTTACCGGTCCACAGAAAAGCCGTCAGCCTGAAATGGAGATGGCATTGGCCAACTTTGTCCGGATGCCCTTCCAGTGACAATACAAGTGCTCCAGGCAAAGGAAGGAAGGAAAATGGGAGGAAAAGAACGGCAGGGAGGTTAACCAGTCTATAGGCAGCCGGTTTGCCACCCTGCGCATGGGAGGGGGATGGGGGAGATGAAAGATAGAGAGCAGAGAGGGAAGAGAGAGAAACACAGCACATTCGGCAGCACACGCGCGCACACTCAGTCATTGTTCAGTCTTGTCTTTCGCGGTGTGTGACATTGCTGTTACAGCCGCTTGTTCAAGTCCGTGTCGCGTAGAAATTTCAACAGAGCTTTTGTCGCCTTCTGTTGCAATGTCTTCTCTCGGGCATCCAGGCAAAGGAGCTTTCAAGGGAGGAAGGAGTTTTGGCGGCAGACTTCAAAGCCACCCGAGAAGGCTGGCTGGCTGCAGAAATTCATGAAGCGCTTTGGCTTCAGCCTCCGTCATCGCACCTCAATCGCCTAAAAGTTACCGGCTGACTATGAAGAGAAGTTGCTGGAGTGCCAGCATTTCGTGCTTCGGAAGAAAGAAGCGAGAGCGTATCTGCGTAGAAATTTCAACAGAGCTTTTGTCGCCTTCTGTTGCAATGTCTTCTCTCGGGCATCCAGGCAAAGGAGCTTTCAAGGGAGGAAGGAGTTTTGGCGGCAGACTTCAAAGCCACCCGAGAAGGCTGGCTGGCTGCAGAAATTCATGAAGCGCTTTGGCTTCAGCCTCCGTCATCGCACCTCAATCGCCTAAAAGTTACCGGCTGACTATGAAGAGAAGTTGCTGGAGTGCCAGCATTTCGTGCTTCGGAAGAAAAAAGCGAGAGCGTATCTGCTAGGCTAATCAGCAACACTGACCAAACGCCGGTGTATTTTGATTTGGCGATGGCGTACACAGTCTCGGAAGAAGGAAGTAAAAGTGCACTCTGCGGGCTATGAAAAGCAGCGCGTGACTGTGATGCTGTGCTGCACAGCGGCCGGGCACAAGCACTCTCCTTAAATCTTTTTTTTTTTTTTTTTTTAAGAGGAAGACTCTGCCCGCCAAAGAGGCCTTCCGGCGAAAGGTCATGGTGCGGGCTAACGAGAATAGAATGGCTGGATGACCAGTGCTATGGTGGAGGAGCGGCTGAATATTGTATTTGAAAGCACTGAAATTTGGCCGAATTTGTACTTGAACATAGCGCTCGTCTGTATAACTCTGTCTTTCATTTGTCTGTTTACGCGCTCTAAATACCACTATGAATATCGCATTTTCTCCTTGTGAAGGACTCGTACCGCGGACACTTGACCGACAGCGTCAAGGCTGCGCTGGCTGAAATGGACTACAACCTTGTCATGGTGCCGGGTGGAATGACGGGCCAATTGCAGCCACATGATGTTTGCATCAACAAGTCGTTCAGTGATTGCCGGCGGGGATTATACACTGACTGGTTAAGAACCGAGGACCACCAATTGACGCCGACAGGCTGCATCAGGCAGATACCACTGTGTCAGTTGGTGGGCTGCAGCGTTAGACGAAACCACTGGAACTTTGATCATGCACTCTTTCAAGAAGTGCGGCAAAACAAATGCTTATGATGGCACCAAGGATTGCGCACTGTTTTAGGACAGCGACAGAGAGTTCAGAGACGACTCGGTATGAGCGCGACATCTTGATGATGAGCCAACAGCTCCATTTCATCTTCATATTTTCAATAAATGTTTTCTCTTTATGAATGCTGTCTTTGCTTTTCACCTGGCCTGCATACGAGGTAATATTTTTTGGGAGGCCTTTGAACTTTAGGGGGTCGACTCAGAAGCTGGGTCGGCCTAGATTCTGGTAAATACAGTAAGTGTGCCAGAAGAAAGACTGAACCTCACACAGTTATACAAGAAGCAGATGTACTTCTGCTTGGACTAGCACGAAAAAGAACACTGTGGCAACTCTGTAAGGTCGAAAAGATTTTTCCAGGCAAGGATGGACGAGTGAGGACCTACTTGCTTCGGACATAAGAAGGGAAACTGGTCAAGAGGCCGATTCAACTGCTGTATTCGCTCAAAGGCTGCTTTGTTTGAATCTGGCCGGCGGGATGATGTAGAGAACAGATTGAAGCTGGAGCTCAGAGGCGAAGACGAAGAGGTGACAAGGGCACGCTCTGGATATATATTTTTTAGATTTCGTTCTGTCAACAATAAACCGAAGACGTATCGGTTCTGCAATCTCTCTGGTCCTTCTGAAACACTGCACACTGTTTAACGTAAGAAGCGGTGGACTTGCATCTTGTAGGGCGGCTTATATGATCTTGGCCTTATTAGATGTTCATTCGAATGCGAAAAAATTCTTCATCGCTTCCTGTATCTTTATTTTCAAAGTATTTTACATTTACAAATAATAATTACAGCGCTCCGCACTGGTGGAAAATCACCACAATTGCTAAAGTTAATGTCAGCGGACAGGTGCTGACTAGCGCCTTAACACTCGTAGGTTATTTCCCTAGCGACAGGTAAAACGTGGGTGCTGAAGAAGGGGCATCTGGGCATGAGATTATGATATCTGCAGCCAGTAATTTTGTGACAATTTTAACTGAAAAGAAATTATATGTTCTTTGTTTATGTATAATACAATTATTAGTACCTTCAAGTAATTGTTTGTTTTGTGGACTGGATAGCTGTGGGCTGACAATAGCCTTGTGATGTAAAGATTGTGGCTCTTGGTTAGCGTAAGTGTATGTATACAAGATTGAAGCCCACTAACGAGTTTCGAAGTGCTGCACCCCAGCAGAACCTCGTCTTTTATATGATCTGTATGTCAACACTGATGCACTTTGCAAAAAAAAAAAGGGGGGGGGGGGATTAACAGCTGAAACATGCGATGAAGAAAACACGAGGACAGTGCATGTCCTTGAGTGTGTTTTTTTTTTTTTTCACCGGCCTGTGGTTGCACTGTTGATTTCTCACTTTTAAAGGTAGTTCTTAGTATTCGATCATATCTTTAGCAGAGGAATTCACTGGCTTGTTTTTCAGTAGCAAATTGACATGCACGAATTGTAATTCATGTTGTTTTGCAGGTTGATGGAAGCAGGTGCTAGCAAGGTGTATGCCATTCTTACGCACGGCATTTTTTCGGGGCCTGCCATATCAAGGATCAACGACGCTTGCTTTGAGGCTGTGGTTGTAACGAACACCATACCACAGGATCAACACATGAAAGAGTGCCCTAAAATTCAGGTTGGTATTAATATTGGTACTAAAGGAAGCCTAAGGAAGTCACTGAGATAACATACTGCATCTTCACACAAAGTGGCGTTTTTTTTGGTTTTTTAAGTGTTTAGTGCCAAGGCAGACAAATTGTGCTTAATTGAAGAACTCCTTCAATGAGCTCAATGCTCGACACCTAAAAGTACTTTTGCTAATGAGATGGGCCCGTATGCAACTTAGTAGGCAAGGTGTTTACCAAGTGAAACAGACAGATAATTTAGTGACCAACTGAAGAAATAAGTCAATTTTAAATATTTCCGGAAATATTTTTGGGTGGCGCTCAAGTCAAAACACTGATTTCGAAAACGCTAAACATAGTATTGTGGTGCCTCAGAATATAGTTTTATTATCGCTACCTTAAAAGAGAAACACTTGGTTTCGATATTGAGGAGGCAACTGTCTCAGTGACGTGCTACCAGAGTGTAATGTCACAGGGAGGCGGCAGCTACTTGTGTGGTTGACATAAGCGACGACGAGTGAATTTGTGCATGTTTTCGAATTAATATTACTGTATTCGAATTCACTTTGTTTGCATGTTACTTTCATAAAAGAGGTTTCATTATAGTGGAGGGGGACTAAGCCATGAAAACATCTATGCAGGAGAAAACTGCACTGCCTTGAAGCCCCACTTCAAGGTTAAATGAGTTAAATGAACATACCGTATTTACTCGCATATTTTGCGCACCCCTACCTGCTCCCACCGGCTCATTGGCGTGGGCACAGAGACTTGGGACCTTGATGCTTTGGACAGGCTTGCAGCGCCTTGCCGAGCAGGCGAGTGCAGTATAACGGCCAGCGAGTGCGAAGTCTCTTCATCTGAGGACTTTGCCCATTGGCGTGCACACAGAGACTTGGGACCTTGATGCTTTGGACAGGCTTGCAGCGCCTTGCCGAGCAGGCGAGTGCAGTATAACGGCCAGCGAGTGCGAAGTCTCTTCATCTGAGGGCTTTGCCCGAACATACTTTATACTGTACTTGAACGCTGACGGGTTGCTGGAACTGCTCGAGCGTTTGCCTCTCTCTATTGTCCCATCTCTACCACCTGTCTATTACCACCTACTGCACGCTCGTGTCATGGCACGTGCAACCTTCTGCACCAAAGAAGTGCGAAGGGCTGTCGCGCCAAATGTTCCCCTCGTTCTCGGCGTTCGTGCTGTAAAGCAGGCTTAGTTGATTTCGGAAGTTTAGCTTTTGCCATCCGTCCGTCGCGTTATTATTGTTCTCTTGCGATGGGCTACAGCAATTACATACACGAAAAAATTCCAAGTTCGCTGTTAAAAAGTTTGCCAAAAAACAGGAACACTTCAGCGTGAAATTCAACGTGTGACAATCAGTGCGACTGGTATGGGAGGAAGCAGAAGAGTGTGCACTTGCTAATACAAATTTCTTGCCATTGAAGAAGGCCTTTTTTATATTGTGCAAACGCTTAAGTCATCCGGTGTCGTCGCGTTGTGGGATCCACTTTGTCTCAGCATTGTCAAGAACAGCTTCCAGAAATGGGGCAATCGAACGGGCCCGACGGAACTGAGGACGATGCGCTTGGTAGTGCGAGGGTGGTGAAGCGGTTGTGACGATGATTCTCAATATGACCTCTCAATCAGTGATTCCGACTGGACACGCGTTACCAAATCTGACTGGTTAGAGTACATGCTAATTGTGTTAACTTAAGAAGTACACTGCGCTTGAGCTCAAATTTCTTATTGTTTGAAATGCATATACTGCGTGCGTTACGACTATAGCACAGTACTTCGTATGTGTTCGGGAAATCCTCGCGTAATTTGCACAGCCTCTTACTCGGAGCCCCAAAATTGCGAGAAAAAGTGCACAAATTATGAGAGTAAATACAGTATTACCCTCACATAGCAAGTTTGAGAAGATTCCACGGCATAATTGCTCATGATTTAAAGCACGCTACCCTTTACCCAGAATTCAGCGATATGCCAAAGCATCACTGACACGAGCCGCTTTCAACTTTATCGATTACATCGTAGTAATCCAGAATTTAAACTTCTCGAGTAAAAATAAAGTACAATAAAAAGTATGCACTAGGTTAAGTACGCACTAGAGAAATAATATTGCCATCGTGTTCAACTCTTAATGGCAAAGCTTAAGAGTCTCCCAATATATAATCTTAAAAGCCAGTTATACTGGCTTATATGCTGTAAATACAGTAAACACTATAACGTAACATATTTTACAAATTATTACTGCATTCTAGGCGAAAGTGAAATCCTGCTACTATTCAAAGTTGTTTCCACTGAACCATAAAGAATGGTTTTTGCACAGATCTTGTTTCGATTTTGAAAAAGTACTGTGCGTTGGGTCATGAAAAAATACGCCCATTTTTGTTTTTTATAATGTGTGATATATACTGTTCGCAGCTAAACTCAGTGGAAGTTGTTGGCATAATGTCCTTTGTGGGGGGCTGGCTTACTAATGACGAGCACTTTAAAAATCAGTCAAATGTTTTATATGTGACTCTGGTATGTGGAGAGCGAATAATGTCCCTTTTACAGTGCCTCAAAATTGTCAGTACCCCTGTAAGGCGCTGTAAGGACCAGTGTTCAGCTGTGCCTTGCGTGCCTAAGGTAAGGCACAGGCAGTCTGCGAGCACCGCTCTTGTGAATAAAGATACAGTCATTGTACTGAGCAATTCATCTGCCGTGGTCAGCGTGGCGATCTAGCTGCCGACTGAGTTCGATCTCGGCCATGTTGGTCGCATTCCTGTGGAAGTGAAATGGCTTTGGTACCCAGAGCGGTCAGAATTATCCAGAGCCTTCCACTATGCATCCCTTGTAGCCTTAGTTGCTTTGGGACATTGGAATTTATCCACCATTGAAGTTGGTGCTTTCCTCCTCTATTTTTGGAAGCTTGCTTTATTGAGCAAGCATATCCTTTATGCTGCACTATCTCTGGTTTCAATAGTGAGACTAGTAGATTCCAACTGTGCACACCTATTCCTGTAAAGTTGGTCTGGTGAACTACGTATTTTCAAAGCTTACCATTTACATATAAAGGTCACTCCAGTGCAGTTACCCTCCTTTCCTCTGAAAATTGCCTTTTTCCAGTGTTGTTTGTCTTCCATGTTGAGTCCCCACTCCTAGCAATATCGGATGCTGCTCTTGTCTTTTCAGTGTATCGACGTCTCCATGATCCTTGCCGAGGCAATTCGTCGAACACACAACGGAGAGTCTGTGTCGTACCTGTTCAGTCATGTGCCAATGTAGATGGAAGGGCACACGCACCACCACTGGGTTTATTGCTCACTCTCCTCCTCCCTCCCTCTCCCTTGTCTTTTAAATGCCACATGACAACCAGTTTTATTAATTTCTTTCTGCGTTGCTGTCCTGGCTTTTGTTTTTGTGTTGCTGCAGATGGTGAAATTTTCTGTTCCAGTGGGAATAGGCTGTTCATGACTACTTGGAAGCGCCAATTCAGGTGGCTTCAAGACATTGTTGATACCAAGTTTTTGTACTAGTGTGAATTTTCTGTGCCTTTTCAGTTAGCCATATGCCCTTTTTGCTTGCTTTTTTTGTCTGTAGAGGCAGCAGTATGTTTATTTTAACAGGGCATGTACAAACAAAAAGTGAGTGCCATGCATACTAGTGAACCATGTGAATTTTACTCAACCTAGGCATGAGCCATTCTTGGTGTCGTGCAATGGCAAAAGTGAAAAGGTATGCGAGCCTGCTTTTACACTTTTTATACTGCTCGGTGGTCCCAGCAGCTGCAAGGCCTTTTTCTCCATCAACTTTTAGTACTTGTGCACAGCTTGCAAAAATGTTGCCTTGTTTTTTGTCCTTTATGCTGAGCATAAAATCAAACATGTTCTTGTTGACTAACAACATATGTGTTCCATAATGTACAGTACCACCACCACCAGAAGCTGCTGCTGTTGTAGAGATGTTGCTTTCGTTGTGCACTATGTGTCTGCTATTTCCTTTGCTTGCTTTCCAGTTGACAGATATTTCAGCGCTTTTCAGTGAAGCAATACTGAAGAACTACCATGGCATTTCTTTATGCTCTGTTAACACCGAAGGACCTGCCAAGTGATGCCGATTCCTGCTGCAGATTGCATTGTACATTCGTGCTGCATTCCATTAGAATCTAGAATGGGTGCCATCCTACTGGGCATTCTTTCGCGCTCTCTTCGGCATTAAACGAGAGTTTTAGTTAGTCTGTCTAGTGCTGTGTTACTGTCGGAGAGTCATGCACATTTATTAAACACTCACAAAAACACTTTGAACAAATAGCAAATTTTGCACATGGCCAATCATTCCCTGCACGTGTAAGGTGCTGGCACTGATTCCCTGTTGGGCCCACATCCTCTAGCTTTACACATGTGGCCATTTACATCAACTGTAACTTGTGCAGCATAGTTACATAAAGGTGTTTATACAATCATTATCAATTTTGATTCATTTTACTCTAAGCACTGGTGTTATACCAATGATTGTGGAGTTTTCTGGGTGAAAAAAAATTGCTCTCCTAAAAAATTAAGATCTTGGCCATAAAAAAATGTACTTCTCTAATTTTGCCAAAATGCTTGCATTGCACATTTTTATTACTGTTGAGAAGTTAAACTGGGGTTAATTCAACACTATTCATGTTGGCTTTAAAATAAAATTAAATATAAAAGTTGTATTGCATTAAATGGGTCCAACTCTGCATAGCGGCTGCACAGTTATGTGCTGATAATGAGATACAATTGGTTTGAAAATAATTGCACTTCATAGCTGCGAGAAAGCTGTCGCTCCAATTGCATAGTGCAGCTAGGTTCTTTTTGCGGTTAGTCACTTGTGACGGACTGAGTGGATGATTCGTGGTGATGTGTGTTTGTGGCGTAGGGCACAATAGTGATAGGTGCGAATTTCATCATTTCAATGGGCGTGCTCAAGGTTCAAAAGTTGGCGGAGAAGTATGGTCAAGATTTGCATTTTTTTAAAGCAGACAAAACCACTTTTCCTAAAACTAGGCTTGTGCAAATATTTGAGCACTTCGAATATTCCAATTCAATTTGACTGGAAATGAACGAATAGGTGCATGTTAATCTGACAAACCCTCCTGTAAACATGGTTTCAGTACAGTAGTATCGTGAAATTACCTATGCAGGGACGTGAAGCCCCACCTCAAGGTTAAATGAACATATTGCCCTCTATTGATTCATCATTATTTTAGTTTAAAAGCTTGTTTTAGTGGCTATTATATTGAAGGGCTATTTGGGCTAGTTGGTTAAATTTTATCATAATGAGGGTTGCAGCGCAAGCACGCTTTTTTTCCAGCTCTTTCGTGCTTGCAGTGCAACCCTTATTATAACAGCTACTATATTCTGCTACTAGTTCAAGTTGCTTCCACTTCTGTTGAACTTTAATGACATTTGCATGAGCCTTGTTTGAATTTAAAAATATTAGCAGATTAGTTGAGTTATGAAAAATATGCTAAATTTTGTTTATAAGATGTGACATACACTATTTGATCTGTAATTATTTGACCAAATCACTGTTTGCTTAGAATTCGCTTCAAACCTTAAATATACAATTTGCACAAACTGACACAAAACATTGAAATTATTGTTCTATGCCAAAGAGCTGTGCCTAGGGAAAAGTTAAAATCTGGAATGGTAACTGGGAGCGTGTGTTCATTCTGATCTGGAAACACCCATAAATGCTTTTTATTAATTCCTTCAAAAGCACTAGCGTTCAAAGAATCCCACATACTCCTTGTTAGCCCTTTCAGATGCTTTGCCTGTGAAACCTTCCCATATGGTAGAGATATTTTTTGGCTCTAACACAAACAGCATGCCTTGTATGCCCAGCTAAAGTTAGGTTGCTTATTAAAAACTTGGATATGAAACTTGGATATGGTCATCGCCGAATCGGTCATTTTTTGTCGTAACCTGTAAAACATTACATATTAATTTACTTGCAGTGCATTTCGAATACACAACTGTGGCAGCATAGGGAGACTAAGATTGGCTTGACTAGCATAGAAAAAATGTTTTTTACTGACAGAATTTGTGCCTCATAGACCTTGCACAAAATCATTGGCACTACACTATGCTATGATGTTAATTTATGTAAATTGTCGCAACCTAGCTGTACCACCAATTGAAAAATTCTATGAAATGCTGCCTATTGCTGGCACGTACTATTACAGGCCCCTTTGGAAGGCCTGTCTCAGTGGTTGCAACCGTTGCAATTAATGCTACTAACAAGAATAATGAACTTGTGTATCTAGTTCTGTATTGTGTGTGGTACTATTTTCTCCAGTGGTCTTCATCATTCAGCCGTGCATCAGAATCTTTGCTGTTCAAGCAACAGTCTGTGCCACTGTTTGAATGCTCAACAATTGCGCCAAACATGATGCCAACGACTCTCATTAATTTGACACTGTACTTTCAGACTCATTTAGTCGTGACACAATTATTTACAAATAAGCCTCACGGGTCGTGCTTATAGATACGAGTAAAAAAAAGCTGCATGTATATTGAGAGCAAGAATGTATGCTTCTAACTGCACAAGTGTGAAAGAAGTCACTGCAAACATGCACTTTTTGCCAACACAAGTTTCTGTATTGCAGCCATCAAAAGTGAGCGTGCGATTGAAGAAGTTTGATGAAAGCCTAGAAGTAAAAGTAGCGAGTCCTTGGACAATGATTATAATCTTTCGTCTACGTGGCTGGCTCCTTGATGCAAAAGGAGGCCACCATTCAAGTAAATTTTGCAACAGTATTGCTCGCAGTTGGGCACTCGGGCTAAGTTCTTGTGGAAGGAAAGCCAGCTGTATCAACATAACTGAAAATAGCTAGAGACTTGTGCTCTACGGCTAGTGATATACTTCACAAACACAGGAAAAGGACAATCAAGATCAACTCTCTGTTTGGTATGTCGTAAAATCTACCAGGGCTAATTGCAAGCAAAACAATGGTTCTATACCATCGTAAATTTTCTAAAGCCTCAACTTGTGCCCTATTATATCTACACCTGTACTTCTCAATTCGCTTCAGTATATGGAGCAGATTCTAATTTCTCAAGTCCAGCACTTTTCTAGGCTTAACAAAATTTGAAGATGCAGGCACATGCAGTTCGGTCGATGAGTGCCTTCAGTCGCACAGTACACCATGACTACAGTACTGGAGAGAATGCTACCCAGCTTTACAGGGAAGCAAACATGGCTGAAACTGCTAGTTTAATTGCTTTGAGAGCTGCCCGAAAGAGTATTTTTAGTAAATCACGGAGAATATAAGGAGAACCTAGTGTGCTCTCACAAATCGGTGCTCTTGGACAAACCACTTTTGTTTTTTAAAGATGATAGTCTTTCTTGGGGACCTTCGACACAAAAAAATTGGTATGTCTGGTAGACATCTGTTTGTCCACTGAAATGATACTTAAAACGGCCAAAATCCAACCCCATCCGCAGCGCCCACCAATATTGCTCGTGTTTCAGGGTTCATACCTGTGTCATTGTCGATGAAAAGCAATTATTGCGCATATCCGAGACACAATAACAACACGTCAATATTGTGTATCTCTTTATACTAGAAAAGGCATACATAAGTAATTCTACAGACAGTAGTGTTTATCACGTTGCGCTGACAATGCAACGCTTGCACGAAAAGGCAAGTGTTTCCTACGCTTTGCCAAGGCAACACGGTGGTGGCACCTACCGGTCGCCTTGCGTTCTACACCTTATCACTTCCGAGATGGGCACACAGGCCGCCAGCTTCATTTTTCAAGATAACTGCCAGATACCGCTCGTGTCTCGGGTGTGAAATGCCTCGATGTGCTCGTTCACCTCTGCTGCACGCATCCAGGCACTTTAACGCAGCGCCTTCAGAATACCATTGACCGATCTTCTTGCGTAGATCATCAAATAGACGTTTCATTCACTCTCTCCAGACACAAGAGTGTTTCGTCTATCGTCTTTCGACGACATTTGCAGTGAAACATGCAGATACGGGGCCAATTTTTTTTTCAGAGCAGTCATCACTTGTACTAATCTCTTTCAAATCGGTAATTCTCTATTCATGTTCTGCTACTTTTTATAAATACTCATGAGTACAATTTGAACAGCACAGACCACCGACGGACCACTAGATTTGTGTAAAGAGAGCATGCACATGTCCATGGTTTTAAAAAAAAGTGAGAGAGAAATGCTTACCGAATGTTTGCTCAGTGATTCCTTTGCACCAGAACAGTACTGTGCCACCCCTGAACAGGCATATCAGGCCAAGGTACACTAGTCCTGCCATTAGTTGCCTCCCATTTGGGGACGACACCCTTTAGAATGACCACACAACTCTTACTGTGAGAAGACGCTTGGTAAGTGAGAACCTAGACATTGTAGACTTGGACAGCATCTGCTTGGGCACACGCTATTGTTTGTTACTGAAGATGTTCATTGTGTTCCAAGAGACGCATGGTTTTAAGATGGCAAATTTTAGAAGATTTAAATTAAAATGGTGGCTATGCTATGATGCAATGGATTTCAACGCCCAAAGTGCACCAAAAAAAAAGGTGTGCAAATCCAACACAAAATTTTGACGACGTCCTCCTTTAATAATGAACCCACAATGGCATTAGCAGTGATTGTGAGCTCTCAAAAAATAGTTTTTCTGTCTTAAAACTGACACAATGTTTCCCTACCTTTGTGAAGCTCACAGAAAAATGCATTCTACCTTTTTGTTGGCATCTTGGTCAAAGGGCATGATAGTAAAGAGAATGCGTGCATTTTTTTCCTCTGAGATCACATTCTTAGCCTGTGCTTTTTGGCCAGAAAAAGTGCAGTTACCATAACATTTCAAGAACGAGTGCAGAATCACCATTACAATTAAAAACCGTGTCAAGATTCTTGCTGAATTTTCTATGTACCTTGAAGGAAGAGCTGTGCAATACAATGTTTGTGATTTGTTGGAGCTGTACACGTGGACTTGTGTCCCTGAGAGTTGGCTTTCCACAATACTCTGTTCAGTTTTGGCGTTGACATGGCGCTTCATGGCTGTGATAGTTGCATTACCTTATTTGATGTCAAAGTAATTTACTCGCCAATTTTTGCATAGCAGTCACACAAGCAGTGCAAAAGTGCGAACCCTGGGTGCTACTTTATGCAAGCATAAGGCAAGTCTATGAACAAAAATAATGTTGGCTTCACACACCAAGCTCTAGTATGCATGCTACTAGAAAGTAAAAAAAATTCCTAAGTACACTTCACAAGAGGCTGCCTCAAGCACAAGCGTAGCCAAGGGTTTGGACAGCATTATTTACAAGTGCTTATGATGGGCAGATAAAAATTTATGCACATTGCAAGTTGCTATGGCCTATGCAACAGCATTCTCAACACATTGTATACACCTTTTACACAAGACTTATTCGCACAGTGCCAAAGATATCTGTTCCATACCCACAGCCACACTGCATGTGGCCACATCTGTGAGGTCCGATTAAGCCACCTCTGATGTAAATACAAAATGAAATGTCAGCACGATAGAGTAACTTGTCTTCCTATAGCCAACATTGCCCCAAAGCACGTCATTAGCACTTTAGCATAAGAGCTCGTTCAGCATGGACAGTTGTGCCACTGGAACTTATTTGAGCTGTGCAAAAAAGCCACGCGTAGGTACACCGTGTAAGTAAACCAAATCCATGAACAGTACATAAGGATTCAAACAAGACTCAATTTCTTGGTACAACATCTGGTATGCACGATTTGCCCCACCATGTGGCGACGTCTGGTCTCTCAAACTAATGTTGGCTCTAATCTACATGCTTGAGTCGAAACTATGCTGATATAACCGGGCTGAAGATGGAGGAAAAGAAAGTAAGGCCTGTTACTTAGCCCTAAATTGTCCTGTTCCAATCAGAGAGTACTGTACATGAGCAACTTCAATGGTGTAAGGTTTTAGCTGTGTGCTAGCCATGTTGCACAGTAGATGCACAGGCTAATTTCACTTGCACAAAAAAAAAAAAGGAATGAATGTGATCACACTCCATTACAACACTAAAACATGGTGTACAATGCACATTTCAGGCAACACTTTTGAGCAAGCCCAAATTGTAAGCTTGATCACAGTGCAGCATTCACAAGCTCCACTACCTGCATCATTGCTCTGACGAGATACAAACGTGGAATATAAAGCGCTGAACAGACTTCAAACCGCTTCACCATGATACTGTTGCCGTTGACCACAGCAGCCAAAGCAGTTGGACTGTTTCAGTGAACGCTGAATACCTGCAATTTTGGATCTGAATGAAACAGAGGTATAAACACCAACAGCGATCTACAATGGACAATCGATAGATAACTGGGAAGAAACGCGCATTTCTTGTAGATGATGCAGTACCTCATTTACTATAATTAGATGACTAGTGGGAAATCTGTACTAACACAATCAAGACGATCCAAATAGTTTGGCATAGTGAATAAATGGCCAGGCCTTCAAGTGCTTCTTTAAGGTACTGGAGGGGAAAAAAAATCTGAGAGTGCCATTAAAAGACTGCTTGTTTGCCAGGAGAATGTAAGCTCGGCCAGGTTGCACCACCGAATTCGACCAATCGGCGCCGTCTTGGAACAGGCCCCGTTTCACAGCACTAGCCACCAACAGTAGAGAACATCACAAATGCACGTTTGGGGAATAGCCGTACATAGGTCCACAGCAATGCCATAACAGGAACTTTGGTGGGATGCATTTTTCACTACACAAAGGCCCTCTCAGTGGGAGTGATGTTTCTGACGCGGTGGGAAATGCTTGACCCCTGCCAAAGGTGGTGGTGCCGCTGCCGCCACCATCACGGGAGGAGTCTGCAGAGTATGACGTGTCAGAGAGAGTGAATGCGATCGTGCTCTCTGTAGGTGGTCTGGTGAGGGTGCCACTTCACGGGATGGCTTAGCAGACTCGATTTTCTTGAGAAGTGCCTGAGATTTGTGAAGAGAACAACATGGTGTGAGAGTCTAAACACAAGGATAAGCTCGGTTATTCACACACATTTGTGTGAATAAGTGACATGTGTGCTCAGAACTAGAGGAGCTAGCATGCACCTGCTTGGCATAACAACATTATTAAAACGAATAGCATAAGCAAGCTTCCACACAGGGGCTGTGTGCTTTGACAGGTAAACTAGTAACAAAAGATACTAACCGGCTGTGTGCTAGAGCCGATGGTATGACAAGTGAACTTGTCTTCTTCAAGGCTAGAACTTACTTGAAGACGACGAATTCACTCGAAGCATCGGCTCGAACACACAACCCCTATTCACGGATCTTTTCATCACAAGCTTCCATCAGCCCCTTCCTACTAGTAACAGTAACAAAACTAATGCAAGTTACACAGGTAATATAAGTAACAAGATAGAACACAATTAACTACACTTAAATATTTGTTTTTTATATATTTTTATAGAATGTAGTTTTTTTTATAATAGGTACAGTGGAAATCGATGATATACCAAGCACGAATGAGAAAGGTTGATATGCCACTTTAAAACCAGCACGTTACGAGGCAGACGTAAATTATGCCGTACATGACTTCATGTGAAGATTATTATGTTTCGACGTGTTATTTACCTTTGTCATCTATTCAAGTCACGTAATACCAAATTTGGTATGTGTCAAGCTAGTGAAAACAGCCGCAAGCACATCATGAGCATGATATGTTGTCATGTTCTTACATATCACGCATGTCATGATTATCCTGTTTGCACGAGCCATATACCTTCGTCATCCATTGACGTCACGTAACACCAAATTTGGTACATTTGACGCTAGTGAAACGACCGTGAGTGCACTGTAGTCGCATGTAGTCGCGTTTTGCATGAAGCACATGTCATGATGATCATGTTTGATTGTAGCATTTACCTTCGTCGTTCGTTCGCGTCACATAATACCAAATTTGGTATAAGTGAAGCTAGCGAAACTGCTGCGAGCGCATCATGAGAGTGGCATGTAGGCATGTTCGTACATGAGACGCATCTCATGATTATCATGTTTGCACCAGTAATATACCTCCGTTAACCATACACGTCACATAACACCAAGTTTGGTATGTGTTAAGCTAGCTATGTACCAGCAGTAAGCCGCAAGTAGTACACGATAGTACAGGAGTGTGCTAAGCAAATGTGCGGCAGTGATACTGCGACCTTCAAGTCAGCAAGAATAGATAGGTTGTTTTTGTCAAACTTTTAGAAAGCACTAAGCGACAAACAGCTGCCATTTTTTACCCTAGAACTTGGTCCATGAACGCAGCAGTGCTTACTAATCTGAAATTGCTGCATTTGGCAATTCTTCAGGCAGTGTCAAGGAATGCCCAAATAAGAAGTGCAAAAGAATGCATGTTTTCATTGAAGCAGCCACTGGAATGAACAACACAATCACAAATGTTTCAATACATGGTGGCACTATTGGCCGCGAAATCGAGCAAAGCTGCCACCTGGCGGCAACTGGCTGAAGTGGTGTACTGTGGATTGCTCCGTGCATCGTCTGCTAGCCCCATCGTGTTTCTATGTGCGTGTGTGTCATGCACGTTCTCCAAGTGTGGTTCGTTTGGTCATGTCAGCGCAAGTGTAATCGTTTCTATGTATGCCTGAAACGACGTACGAAAGCATTTGGTCTTGCTCAGCTTCTAATGCATTGTAATGAGATCGGCGAGTGCAATTTTCCAAAATGCTGTTTATTGTCGTCGCCTCTATTCACCACAATAATTTCAAAGTGGGTGCTGCTTTCCGTTTCAAGCACATCAAAAAATGCTCTTGGCATCCTCCTAAACATGAGGACTATTTTAATGGATGTGAGAATGCAGCGTTTTATAGCGACTCAGTTGTTAAAAAAAAAAAAAAAAAAAAAACGGGCTCTAGGCCATGCACTTGCACGGTGTTGGTAGGTGTACAACTACGGCATTGTAGTTTATCGGTCATGCGAGAAGCCTTAGTTGATTTTATCTGGCTGCGGTACCACTACACCCCGGCGCTTAGTTTTCAAAAAGCTTTTAAGAGTCCAGACGTTGAAAATTAATTCAGACGGCATGCCTTATATATAATATTGTATAATTTCACTGAAAATCTTATCCTTTTTAGATTGTCTTCAGCGATTGTGTGGAATTGTTAGTGACCGGTGGAAGGCAGTAGTAATTTTTGCGTGAAAAAGAAAAAAAACACTGCTTGTTTCATTAACCAGGCCTTTCTTGTAGCACCATCATGTAGCATCTTGTAGCACCATCATACTTCATCGATGAAAACTTTCTGCCGATTTCTTATATATTTTGACTGGTGCAAGAACATGTGCGTACACGTAGGTAAACGCAGTGTAGCGCAAAGTGCCGTCAGCCGCTAAGCTTTTCTGACAAAACTTCTTGACTGTCCCACATTTCACGGTGAACAAAATGAGAGAGAAAAAAAAAAAACGTGTATAAGCTGCGAACGGTGGTACTGAATAAATCGCACAGATATGCGGGCTTTCTACGATTTTTTTTTCTCTCTTTCTTGTAGTATGCAGATGACAAAAATTTAAGTAAGTACAGTCGCGGTACCGCAGTTCGTAGAAGGTGGAACACAAACTAACCATGTAAAACAACACAGCAAAGGCGTGATTCAGCACGAAAGCCTGAAGAGAGTCACCCAGGGTGAGCATCCCTATGTAAGGCAGAATGCGCTTTACCCGTGTGTAGTATTGCATAGGCATAGTGCACCGATTCAGTAGAGAACATAGATATTAACAGTAAACTGAAGTCAACGCATTTTATCCACCGACAATCGGCTCAGACGGCAGGCAACGAAGCGTCTCTGCATGTATTTGTATACGCGCCGCCAACTGCCTATCGACACTTGTGCGGGGACAGTGCTACTATCTATAGCCCGTTCTCGCCGTGAATAGTTAGCAATGCCTTTCTTGTTATGCACACATTTTTACTGGTCTCGTGCTGTGCACAGCAAGAGTGTGCACACTGTACAGTTCCACGGATTTTGTTTAGTAAGCCATCAACAAATGGCATCGTCCAGCTTTCTCATATGTAGGTAAGATTTGCACCATGATAACAATGCCCAGTTATACTCTCTGGCGACAGTTCTCATTATGTCTTCCAACAGCACAGTCTATGTATATTTGAGCGAGGGTGTTACGTTTCTCATCAGTGGGTGGCTGCCCTTGGGGACTATTCCTTAAGCACGCAGATATATGACAATGTCATCGCTGGCACAGAGCATTTAGACCTGCTCTATGCAGTTGCGTACTTAGCATTCAAGGTGAAAACTTTAGTTCAAACCAAGACGGACTAAAAAGAACAGAAGGGCAGAAGAAATGAACACATGCGGCTTGCCTTAGAAGCATATCACCTAAAGAGAAAGGAAGCTGAATGTATCAGTGTATGTCTATATCTTTGTACTCCTCCAAATATAAATTCATGCAAGCACATGAGAAATGTGTTTACGTATGCAACATGCCTTATTAGCACAAGTATGCGAGGTCTGTGGTGGCATTTATATGCGTTGCTGTGAGAAGAATAAAGCAGTTGTCGGTAAGCACCAGTGCGTGTCTTTTCCATTCTCTGTGCTCTGTCTTAGCTTGTGCAAAAGTTATCACTAAGTGCAATCTACAAACTAGGCCCAGTAGAAGTTTTATTGAAGTCGGGTACAGACCACACAAAAATGGTGAGAAACAAGGAATCGGGGACAAGGCCAGTGATCATTTTAAGCATTTGTGTTTGTCTTGTTTGAAAAGTACACAAATGTATCTGAGAAAAGTTAAAAGCCCCAGATCAATTGCCTTCAGGGACATCAGTAGTAACAAATATCAGGGAATTTTGTTGGTGCAAGGATTTCTTTCTGTATATGTTTCTTATTGCTACCATAGTCATTAATGGCTGTAGCAGAGCTGGCAGCAACATCTCGTGGCTTTTTGTCCAGCTACAAGTGCTTTTGCAAAAATGTTCAGCCTTGTCTGTACTCTCAATAGTGAAAGTATTGTGAGTTAATGATTATATAATGGGTAATACTTTTTCACATCAACATTAAACATGCAAGTCACTACAGTGCTATTCTGTACACCTCCGGTTATGTCTTGCGCTATACGGTGTTGCTAGTGGCTTTGTAAATAATGATAATTGTTGAGGTTTAACGCCCCGAAACCACCATGATTTTGAGAGACGCCGCAGTGGAGGGTTCCGGAAATTTGGATGCCTGGGGTTCTTCAACATGCACCTAAGTCTAAGCACACGGGCCTCAAGCACTTTTGCCTCCAAAATGCGGCTGCCATGGCCGGGACTCGATCTCATGACCTGAGGGTCAGCAGCTGAGTGCCTTAGCCACTAGACCACCGTGGCGGGTCCACTGGCCTTGTCTATTGCGTGCACTTGCACAGTAATAAGTAAACATGTAGTCTACCAACAAACTAAATTTTTCGTCAATTTACGTTTGAGGGTGAAATTCACATTGCTCTTGTAAAGCATGCTTGATATTGCATTTTCTTTTCATCTTTATTGTAATTCATGATTCGCTGCACACTGTATGACTGAATTCTGAGTTTGGAATGGATGGGACGACAAGAATGACAGGGTCCTTCTTCCTCGGCCATTGAGTGCACAAAGTTTCACAGGTTGATCTTAAGTGCAACAGTGCATCTAGTTGCAGCCTTCTGTATCATCATCATCATCATCATCAGCCTGACTACGTCCACTGCAGGACAAAGGCCTCTCCCATGTTCCGCCAGTTAACCCGGTCCTGTGCTTGCTGCTTCCAATTTATACCCGCAAACTTCTTAATCTCATCTGCCCACCTAACCTTCTGTCTCCCCCTAACCCGCTTCCCTTCTCTGGGAATCCAGTCAGTTACCCTTAATGACCAGCGGTTATCCTGTCTACGCGCTACATGCCCTGCCCATGTCCATTTCTTTTTCTTGATTTCAGCTATGATATCCTTAACCCCCGTTTGTTCCCTAATCCACTCTGCTCTCTTCTTGTCTCTTAAGGTTACACCTACCATTTTTCTTTCCAGTGCTCACTGTGTCGTCCTCCATTTAAGCTGAACCCTCTTTGAAAGTATTCAGGTTTCTGCGCCACAGCTAAGTACCGGCAAGATACAGCTGTTATATATCTTCCTCTTGAGGGGTAGTGGCAATCTACCCGTCATAATTTGAGAGTGCTTGCCAAATGTGCTCCACCCCATTCTTATTCTTCTAGTTACTTCACTCTCATGGTTTGGCTCTGCGGTTATTACCTGCCCTAAGTAGACATAGTCTTTTACAACTTCAAGTGCACTATTACCTATCTCGAAGCGCTGCTCTTTGCCGAGGTTGTTGTACATTACTTTCGTTTTCTGCAGATTAATTTTAAGACCCACTTTTCTGCTCTCCTTGTCTAACTCCGTAATCATGAGTTGCAATTCGTCCCCCGAGTTACTCAGCAATGCAATGTCATCGGCGAAGCGCAGGTTACTAAGGTATTCTCCATTGACTCTTATCCCTAACTGTTCCCATTCTAGGCTTCTGAAAACCTCCTGTAAGCACGCGGTAAACAGCATTGGGGAAATTGTGTCCCCCTGCCTTACACCCTTCTTGATTGGTATTCTGTTGCTTTCTCTATGAAGCACTATGGTAGCAGTTGATCCCCTGTAGATTTCTTCCAGAATGTTTATATATACTTCATCTACGCCCTGATTCCGCAGTGTTTGCATGACGGCTGATATTTCTACTGAATCAAACGCCTTCTCGTAATCTATGAAGGCTATGTATAGTGGTTGGTTATACTCTGAGCATTTCTCTATTACCTGATTGATAGTATGAATGTGGTCAATTGTTGAGTAGCCTTCTGTATAATAATTTCTTAATACAGACTTCATAATATGAATAATTATTTATTCTTTGAATTTTGTAACATATAGTGGTACCCATTATTGCACTTACCTGGAGTTCATTAATCACATTTTCGATGCACAGGTCGTTGCCATACTAATTCAACATGAAGAGCAACTATTCGTACCAGGCTAGCATTGCAGAACTACAATCAATGAAGCAAAACAGATGTGTTCGACCCGGGTCTACTGGGAAGCTTTAGATTATGCACTTGGGTAATGCAAAGGGTACTTTTGTATGCGCTCTCTGAAATACTTTTGTAAACCCCGATTAGCTTCTCTTGCACATCCGCACTTTGCTTGAATGAAGGACATAAAACCTTATATCGGTGTCACACGGTCACTTGTGATCGCGCATGATCTGGATATCGAGCTTTATCATGGTGGGCTCCTTTGCACAGCAGGGGGAGCTAGTCACTGTTGAGAAATTTTAGCCCAACGGGCTTTAATCAGCAGTGCAACGTCAGACACCTCCCTACTGCTCTCGCCAATCGGGTCTGCACATGGAATTCCTTAAACGACCACATTAGTGGGCAGGCACTCGGACACTTTGCTCCGTTGACGCAGCGATGCAAGTCTTCGGCAAGAGAGCCGAATTGAGCGAATGGTGGAAGCGCTAGAACTTACGAGGTTTTCCACTTCAATCTGCCGCTGCTGCCGCTGCCTGTTGATTGCCGATGGCGCCAGACGGGACGGCGTCCTTGAGTCAAATTTCGGCCTCGGTCGGTTCTGTTGAGCCAGGATGCGCTTCAAGAGTCGCTGGTTTTCGCGGTCGATGCGCTGGACTTCTTCGTTCGAGAACGACATATTCTTGCGCCCCTTTACCGGAGCTTCTTTGCGTGCCCGGCTCTGTTCGCACTGATGCGCCTCGAGGCGCCTGATGGCATCCACGAGAAGCTGCAGGTCGACGGGTTCCCGCTGATGGTGCTTGGTTCCCAGGCGGACCTTTCCCGCAGCCACGGCGCTTTTGCGCCTGGCGCCACTGAAGGAACTCCGGTCGGACTCGCTGCCACTGCTGCTGTCGCTGGCAGCAGCTGCTGCCTGCATGGTCAGTTTGCTAACGGGCAACTTCACTGCAGGCACGGGGCTGTCACACATGTAAGGCGAGTGAAGCGGTGTCACATCGGTGATGGACTCCGACTCGGACAAATCCTCCATCGAGCCCTCGCTGAGCGACGAGAGACCTTCCGAATCGGTGACGCTCGAACGAGGGCTGCTCGCTGTGTCCTCGCCGTCCTGTTCCATGCAACTGTTTCGAGGCTCTTGCGCGTCGGTCAGTGCGACGTTCGGAGGCGTCACTCTTCGAGCATAGAAACTTGAGCTCGGCAGTCGATACGGCGACTCCAGCGGCAACAGGCCCGAGTTGGCGCCGTCTAGGCTCCTCACCGCTGCAGCACCGCAAGGGGCCTCGATGTCATCACCTTGATTGTACTGAGACGACCCGGCAGCTTCGGAGTCGGAAAAAGCAACGTCATTCTGCGAGTCCTCGTCGTTGTTATCGACGACAGCTTTCCAAGACATGTTGGTCGGTCCTGAACACAGCGGACCGATGGCTGCATACGGTCTCCGCGCGCATCCATCAACAGCACAGGCAAATCGCAGGTATCTCAGCAATATTCACTCCGCATAGCTCTCTCGCGTACTTTCTCTGTGTCGCGGAAACAGGGTGGTTTCAACGCGGCTACGACAAACACAAGATTTAGCTAGACACCTGTCCTGCTTACGCGAGGCTGCCACACACTACCGCGGCCACCAACGTCGCCTTACGTCTGTTCTTTTTTTTTAAATTTTTTTTCCGCCCGAGGTTTGGCATGTGTTACTCTATGGGTCCGGTTAGTCCGGTGGCGCCATCCCACGCGACGACGGCCACTTCGAGGTTTCTGTTTTTGACGTCAGCCTGCTGACGTCAAATGACACTAGCCACTTGCTTGCGTGCGTGCTTGCTTGATCCAAGTTATTTCCTTCCTCCATACTTGATCCTCTCTAGAGGCTCTCACCCGCTATGGGAGTTTGGCCAAGAAACCGCTTTCGTTTCGCTTTTTTTTTTTTTTTTTGCTGGTTCGTTTTGTTTTGTCGCCTTGAGGAAACTGGCTCATAGCCACTAGGAGGATTGGCCACGCTGTCAATTAAAGAGGGAAATGAGTACGAGGCTACTGTCTGGGCTACAGTGTATTTTTATCATTTGACAGTGTCTCCTGTGCCCCGACGGCACGAGCGTATTGAGGGGCAAAACTACGGTCATTACTATGATGTACTGGAATGGTGGTGGTAGTGGATAGAAGATGAGAAAGGCACCTAATTTCTGCAACCCGGTCGGGAGCACGGCGCAGTGCCTATACTGGAATGCGGCAGTGTTACAGCCACGGAGGAAGGAAAGGTTTCCTTCCTCCGTGGTGGTTACAGCAGTGTGCCATTTTCACAGCAAACCAATGAGAGAGTGGTGGTCGCTTTCGCGATGACGCCTTCAGTAGGGAGCCACGATCAAACGTTCTGCCAACGCGCGTAATTTAAATGTGCGTTGCGGACCTTTCTGCAGTTTTTGAGTAAAATAGTCACATCACACGATTGAAATTAAAAGTATCGGCAAGATTTGAAAAACGCATCCAACGCACATAAATGCATTAACGAAATAAATAATACCACTTCTCCGTAGTCTGAGCTCGCACAATTCCTATCGCAGAACAGGGACCCAGTCACCCAGATCGTTTGCTTACTGTTTAGATTTCAAAAAGCATAAAAACACATCGCTATTCATTTGAACCATATGCCCTCTTGCCTATAGCTATCGCACTAACCTGAAGTCATGCGACGAAACAAACGAGGAGCTCGTGATGCCGTCGGGTGAGTTTGACGACCTGCAGTCGCGATCCCAAGCAACCTTGGCCGACGATTGGTGGGTGGATCATGGCTGGCATGTAGTCGGTAGCCGACTTCGTAAAGGGTCGGCCTGAGATGCGCTGCCGGCTACGTCGCGTCAATGAACGAGTGAACGCCGAGCGCGCCAAACATTCGTCGGAGTGAGCAGTCGACAACACATCGGGCCCGTCTTGGTTGCCGAATGATCACAGTAAAATAGCGGGTATTTAATTAGGGTGGCATAAATATATTGTTGCGTGATTTTAACTAACATTCTCACGTATACGTATCAATGAAAACTGCACCAGCGTGTTTTCTTTAACATTCAGAAACATTACCTGGGAGACAGTGAGAGACAACAAACTTGTGGTATTAAGCTCGATTACTTTAATTGGCAGATAGTACTTGTGCGCCAATCCGATTACGGTGACTAAATAACAATAATATTAACAATTGAATTGGTACATGCATGATGCTGCCAGGTGAGCGTATCCACTTTGAGAAATTTGAGATTTGTATAATAGGAAAACTGACTGAAAAAACGCTGAATTTTTTTTTTCATTTCTCATCATATGGTAGTTTAAATGCCATAGTGAAGGGCTCCGGAAATTTCGACCACCTGGGGTTTTTTAACGTGCAGCCAAATCTGGGCACACGGGTCTACCGCATTTTCGCCTCCATCGACAATGCAGCCGCCGCAGCCGGTATTCAGTCCCGCGACCTGCGGGTCAGCAGCCGAGTACCTTAGCCACTAGACCACCGTGGCGGGGCTTTGCAGCCGAGTGCCTTAGCCACTAGTACCACCACATCGGGGATAGAGCAAAAAGTAGGAGCACATATCTTTCTGTGAATGGCGTTCTGGTGCAATTTCATGGCATCTGTGCAAGGTATTATAGAACACACAATTTGCACCAAAATTTAACACCGCTTTGCATATTGTGGTGTTCTAATCCTGCTTCCAGTAAAAGACCATCTAAGTTTGGCTGCTGCATGACATGTTAAATTGAGAACAGAAATGTCATTTTAATGTGAATATGGCAATATGTTTCTTTTAAGTAATATGCACTGCGAAGTACTATTTATTCACATAGTTATTTCTTGCAAAACATGTTCCAGCTTAGGAAAAATATTTCCAGTTAATGGGTTTGTGAACTGATTGGTTTTGAAACACAGTGAAGTGAAAACACAGCGCTCGTTCTGTCCTTGTCTCTTCTTTTGTAGATACGTCGTAACTACTCGTGCAAATATACTCTTGCGCTGTGCAAATATGTTGATTCCCAATCACCAACTAGCTCAAGCATATGTCTTATCAAGTTACATTTCATTTTCAGAAGTGCATGAAATATAAAGCATCTAATTTTTTAACAAGTGAACATGTCTGTCTCCTTTTGTTTGTCTCTTCATACTGTGTATTATTTCACCAATTTATTGCTAGTACCTTTTTTTAGATCAAATTTTTTTCAGTTTATTTGTCAATAGCTGTGTCAACAGCACTTTTGTGTATTATATGTTCAGTTACAGTAATAAAAATGCGTACTATATTTGCAATAACTGTGTCTGCAAATAATACGTGTGCATGTGCTGTACAACTATGTTTCTGAATTCAGTATGCATGCGTTTCACAATACACTTCTTTTTTAACAACAGTGGACTCTCACTTCATTTGCTGCCCCACCCAAGACTTTCCTTCGATATGTGGATGATTGTTTCTGTGTTTTGCAACGGGATGTCCTGCCAGTATTCTTGGAACAGCTAAATTCTGTGGAGGCCGCGATACAGTATACCCTGGAAGAAGAATCGAACGGCTGCCTTCCGTTCCTTGACATCCTCGTGAAACGAGACGGTACACTGCAAATCATTTCACACCCTTAAGGGTGGATGTTTCAATAAATCACCCATCTTACACCTATTATTTCTGCTAAACTTATCCGCACGGGTGTAAGTTCTGCAATTCCACCTTTTGTACACCCATTTGTCATTTTTAGGTGTACTATAGGTATATGTTAGCAAATTACACCCAAGGGTGTTTCCTTGAACGTTACACCTATCATATATGTATACAGTTTTGACTCCGAAATGTCGAAACAACGCCGCAATAACGCCTCACCCGGGAAAAAAAATGTACATTACGAAGGCTACGCATTTGCCGCCTGTACACGTCACTGGCAAAAAAAAAGACTTTGAAGCTCTGCTAGCAAATAAATATTTGTCTAGCATGAAATATTACACTATATCTTGGAGGCTTGACATAGCTTGGAAATTATATTATAAAACGGTACTGCAATGTGTTTCGGTTTCGGTTTCGGTTTCGAGGTCTCGGGCAACTGCGCATTGCCATCGTCAACAGGCAGACTTTGAATTGGGTGGTAACATGTCGTGTGTGTGTTTGCTGCAGGCTGACGGTGGTTTATTATTTTACTATTCACTTGCTTTGTCAGGGACGCGTACTTATACCGCTTGCACAGTTTAACTCACGCTTACAGTATATACAGTACGTGTCACTGCAATCTGTGGCGTGTCGGCAAGTACAGAACTACTTCGGTGCGGCGGAGTGTGTGTCCTCTGTCAACGGCTTTCGTTGAAGCTTGTGCACGCCGCAAGCAGAGTGTTTACGATCAAGCAATCAACGGACTGTACGCTGGGAGCTACATGGAGAACGCTTTTGGATTTCATGCTATTGCTGAAAAGGTAAGCTTTCGTGCATGCGAACAACGAAGTGCAGAAGTGCGTGCCTGCCTGCCTGCCAACTCCCGATCTGCCCGCGATACTCGTATTGCAGGAAGCGGCCGTCTCATGGCGCCGGTAGCTTCGTGACCTTCGCTCGCTGTGTGCTTATCAGCTGCGATGTCTCAACAGTCGCAGTGTTCGTGAACCTCGCTTTGGGGCATGGTTAAAGAAAACGGGGGATGTGCCCCGCGCAGATAAACCTTACGGCATTCGGCAGTGGGTGAGAAAACAAGGGGGGGGGGCTGAGCGAGCCGAGGTGGGGAAAGAAATGGCATAATAATAACGAAGCAGATCAACGGTAAAAGAGGCGCCAGTTGTCAGTTAGCGGACTGCAGTGGACAAATGGGGCGCGTTTATTACGCGGGAGAAAAGAAAATTCACATTTCAATGACTGAAGATAGGGGTGCGTTTTTAATGCGAGTAAATACGCTATTTAAAGCAACAATTGAAAAATACTTAAACTTTGTATCAGTACCCTTTGATGCCTGCGCTTTGCAGCGGCGTGAGGTGTTTTGTTAAAAATCGTGCTGCTAAACAAAGAATTTATATGTACCTTGTTTAATCAGTGATTCGTGCTTTTTATGCCTTACTAGGTTTGTTTATATTTATACTAGTATATCGTAAATAATTAGGATATAGAAATATTGATCTGCTTTAATAAGGAATTGAACAGCCACACTCAATTGCACACATCTTTTTGCATTTTTGAACCATTGTACTACGGCACATAGAATATTGTAGAATAGAATATTTTTGTATATTTTGGTGTAGGGTTTTGCGCTGTGGTTACATATGAAAGCTTAGCCAAAGTGTACCAACAAACACGCGCACAAAACTTTACAAGACTGATACAGCACAGATGATAATGGTGTAGGCATAGTTAGCCACTACAGAACGCGCTCGCAAAAAACAAATGAGGATGGCGACACAGGTGGCTGTTAATGAAAGCAGGCAGACCTAACAGCTCTTGTCTGTTTCATGCATTTTGTCTGTGCAGGTTTCATCCTTACGAATGTAAACACACTGATCCAACTAATAAGTCCTCCGTGCATATATTCCTGTTAGCTACTTTTCCAATATGTCGTGCATTTTTTAAATTACACATATTTATGGTCCAACAGTTCAGAGCTTATTGAGCATATATTAACTTACTTGTGATACATTATCTGTTGCATGGCTGTTTTTATGAATTAAAAAAT